AGCCGTAAGGGCATTAATCATAACTTCCTTTCCCAAGGGGCTGGGTATGCTGTCTCCACAGTGATTATCAGGGAAGAGACCCAAAACCTCCAACCTTTCTTGCGCATGTCTCCACTTGCGTAACAGCCTCCCTGCTCACTTTGAACCATCCATTTTTTATTTCATCCTGCTATTTAAAATCAAGAGTTCTTCTAATTGGTATGGACTATGGGAGGTTTTCCCTTCCTCTGAAGAGGTGGTACATATACTCACATGCTCACTCTTTCCAAATGAGACCATTCTGAGCTATTCTATGACTGGCCCAAAATAACAGTCATATTAACATCAGCTGTTTAGATTGAAGCTATTACTGTAATCCCAGTGTTCCCAATACTCAAGTTCTGGTATAACTGCTGTTTTCCTTAACACTCTAGACCAGCGGTGCTCAACCTTGTTTCCTGATGGGTCAGACGGGCAGTGCCCGCTCCATTCGCAGGCTGGATCCAGCCAGTGGCCCCAACCCAGTGCCCAGGGCAGGCACAGCTAGGCCTCATCCAGCCACATGGATAGGAACTGGCATGAACGACGTATGCCCCGGAGGCTGGGGGGCACGGCGACTGCCCACAGGCGGCAGTGTGAGCGAGCACAGAGCTCCCGCAGATGGCTGCGGTGGTGTCGGCGGAGGGGAATGGGACAGGTGGCAAGTGGCCACTGCCTGCAGGCACCATTAGCAGCGCCAGTGGCACTTCTTCCAGGGGGTGCACCGCTGAGCTCAGGGGGTGCACATCACCAGTGGGAGCTGGGGTGGGGGCAGCCTGGCCCTGATTCAGCTCTGCAGGAGGAGGAGGTGTGGCCCCTTGGGGGGAGGGGGCACAGCCTGACCCAGCCCCAACGAGGAGGTGCAGGGGAATCTGGCAGCGGCGGAGGGCAGCATTATCAATGGCCACCTCTCCTCTGCCACCAAAGTCTCCGAGCTGTGGAGAGCTCCACGGGCTGGATGCCACGACTCCACGGGCATGTGGGGCCTGCAGGTTGGCATCGAGCACCTGTGCTCCAGACCAGCGGCTGCCCCACAACCCTGCACTGTTAGGGGTGCGCGCACGGCTCACTCGGCGCTTCGCAACAGGAATCCAGAGGGACCCGACACCGCGCCCTGCGGTAGTCGGGGTCCTCGGTGACTGGTCAACGGCTCCAGTCTTTCTCAGAGGGTCAGCTCCAAGCGTGCCCTGAGCCTAACAAGGTGGCCGTAGAGCTCAGAACCAGAGGCAACGTCACGACATCACGCCTCCCCCAGCTACGTCACTGCAGACGCCCCTCACCGCTCCATGACGTAACTGCCACGCCGCTCCCCCTCCTCTTCCCCTTCCTCCAGCCCACCCCGAAGCCGCACCACTGCGCCGCCACGTCACCATATTGAACTGCAGGGCGCGTGCCTCCCTCAACGTCACGCGCTGTGACGTCACGCAGGGCCGGGCTGGGCCGGCGGAGGAGGGACTCGCTGCGGAACCTTTGCGACGCAGCCCTCGTTTCCGGCGGGACGCGACAAGGCAGACGTGCCCGGAAGCAAGATGGCGGCGCGCGTGCTGCGGTGCCTGGGTCGGGTCGCGCCCGTACTCTTCCGCCCCCCCACC